GGTTCTCAGGGGTTCAAATCCTGCCCCTATCCCTGAACCACCGGCCTTATTTTTAACCCTGCTGACGAAAGATAAGAAAGATAATCCGAATGAAATCAAGAAGAGTGACTGATCCCTGCCCCTCCCTCTGCCCCAGTTACTGCTCCTTCCCTTCGCCCCAACAGGGTCAGAGCCATCCTAGGAGACCCTAGTCCGGAGGCATCAGCCCAGACACTGTGAGGGGTCACAGAACAAATAGTTCCTGCATTTGCCTAGCAGAACCTGGGAGAGATCCTGGTGCTTAAAGAGAAACACTTAAGGCTCCTAGGGGGTTGAGCAGGCTGGGAACCATCCAAGACTGGGCTGGATTTCCCTCTGTCTAGTACATGCTTCTCAAAGGCTGGTGAGCAGAAGAAGCACCTGGAGGGCTTATAAAACACAGATGCCTGGGCTTCTCCCCCAGAAATTCTGATTCAGCGGGTCTGGGGTGGGGCCCAAGAATCCATGTATTTCCAACAAGCTCCCAGGTGATGCGGGGCTGTGGGCAGGGGAGGTGTGCACCACACTGAGTGGCACTGAACTAGAAACAAGATCCTCCGGGTAACAGCAGTTCTGCCTGCCCTTTACCCTGTGAGCTGCCAGATACACCCCATCAAGGCTGCCTTGGGCGCAGGATGCGGAGAGCCCTGAAGGCCGTGCTAAGGAATTAGGACTTTATGTTGAGCAGCATAGGAAGCCTTGCAAAGATTTTGAGCAACAGGCGAAGCCACTGGCTGTATGGGTTAAGCACGCTCACCGCGCCTCGGTGCCACCACATGCAGTCAGTTGTAAGGAGCGGGCCTGGAGGCGGGGTGGGAGTGGGGCTTTGCAGGAGGCGTGACAGAAGGATGGAGAGATGGGAAGATTCAAGAGCCACGAGGGACCAGAAGAGACAAGAGGTGGTGACCGATGGCTGTGGATGTTGGAAGGAGGGTGTGGGAGAACACGGGATTCCTGGCGTGAAGGCTGGGGCCCTGGGGAGCCATACCAGAAATTTCAGGCATTGAAGAGGGGGGCTGGTAAAGGATTCAGCTCGTCAGACTGATGGACGTGCGCAGAGGAGTGTGCTGTGTGGCCAGCCCGCTCTCAGCCCCTCCTCTGGCTCCGTGGAGGGTCCACAGATGAGCCCCCCAGAATCTTCCAGGGCTCAGTGTGAAGGCTGCCATTCGGCCCGAGGAGTCCGTCAGCAGAGTCCCAGAGCGCCAGAAACAAGCCTCGCCCAGCTCGCTTTAGCACAAAAGGACATTTCCTCGGTTGGAAGGTTTGCCCAGCTCGTGCCCTGCTCCCCGGCGAGCTGGGGTTTCAGGTTTCCAGGGAAGTGTCTCTGAAAAGTTTAGGACTTTGAATCACACATCCCGAGGATGGGCAAATGTGATCCTGGGGAAATGCATGCACCACACTGAGTTTTGATGTCACAAACGCCTTCTTCCTCCTCTCTTCGCCGCCACCTCCTCCTTCACTACCGTCACCATCCCCGTCACCGTCACCATCATCATCATCATCATCATCATCACCACCACCACCATCACTCAGGCCCCCACCCTGGGCTACACACTTCCATGTGCTGCCTCCGAGTTTTCACAGCAACTCCAAGAGGGGAGAATTATTATCCTACAGATGAAGCAACTGAGGCACAGAGGGGCAAAGCCACTCACCCAAGGTCCTAGAGCCCCCTTGGGGTTGGGACAAGGGTGAGGAGAGTGAGGAGACTCATGCAAGTGCTGGGTCTGACCCAATCTTTATTTAAATTTGTTCATAGCTTATTCATCAAGGATTTTTTTTTTTGGCATGAATTTTGACTTTTAAAAATATTACATTAAAATATTTTTTAATGTAGATTACCAAGTGTTCTTGGCATCCCCCTAAATTTAGAGCCTGAGGTGAATGCTTCATTTGCCTCCACCTGGCCCCAGCCTTGGCAGGGCCAGAATTGGAATCCAGGGCTGCCCACTGCAGAGCCACGCTCTTAACTGTGTCCTGTGCTGCCCCCTTGCCCACACACATGTGCATGGGTGCGTTCATGTATGTATACTTTCATCCGGTAAATATTCTCTCCTTCAGTAGACATCGTGGCAGTGTGGCAGAGTGGAGAGGCCAGAGGCTTGGAAACCAGATACTTCTGGGCTTGAACGCCACTTACTCACTTTAAAAAAATATATTTTATATTGATTTCTAGAGAGAGAGGAAGGGGGAGAGAGAAACAGTGTGAGAGTGAAACATCCATTGGCTGCCTCCTGTGCACCCCCTACTGGGGGACTGAGCCCACAACCTGGGCATGTGCCCTGACCCGGAATTGAACCGGCAACCTTTCGGTGCATGGGGCGACCCTCAACCAACTGAGCGACTCTGGCCAGGCTCCACTACTCACTATTGAGTGGAAGCATGGCCTGTAGTGAAGGACACAGACTCTAGATCCCAGAATGCCTTGGTTGGAGATCTCACTCTGCCACTTGCTGGCTGTGCGAGTTTGGGCGAGATCCTTAAAGCTCTCTTGTGCCCTGGATTTCTTCTCTGTAAGGGGAATGATGGTGATAACATCTGCCACATGCAGTTATTAGGGGAATTCAATGAGTTAATTTCTGTAAGGCCCTTGGCATGTAGTAAATACTTTGTGTTAACTATTATTTTGCATCTTTGGGCAAGATACCTGTCTGAGACTCAGTTTCCCCACCTGTGAAGTAGGGATAGTAAAAACCACCTCCTAGGCAGTTTTGAGGGTTGAAAGGGATAACATAAGGGGCCTGGCATGCGGTAGGAGCTTAGTAAAATTTACCTCCCTTATGGGGGCCCGATTCTGTGCTGGAGACTGAGATACAGAGACACAGGTGCCTCAGCTCCCTGAGGAATTAACTCATCTGCACATTTGGGCACCGATTTGACCTTTCAGTTCCCCAAAGGCACTGAGCTCTCACCCCCTCTCAGGGCCTTTGCCCATGTTTTTCCCTCAACCTGGCTCGCTGTCCCCACCTCACCTCTATGGGCCTAATTTATGTGTGCCTTCAGGTCTCAACTTAAATCAGGTCACATCTTCAAGGAAACCTTCCCTGACCACCCCGTCTCCTCCGCTGGCCTCTAACAAGTCTTTCTCTTCTATACTTTCATTGCATTCTGTACTCTTCCCTCCTGGCACTCCTCATGACCCACAATGAAGTACTTTTAATCCAGTTACATTTTATTAAATAATATTTGTTGTTTGTTTGACAGCGAGGGCATGGGATGGGTTTGTCTCATCCATAGGGATCTCTGTCCTTTGCTCCCGGCCACACACATGCTCATGCACACAGGTTCCAGAGTCACCTGGGTTCACAATCCCAGCTCCTGCACTTAATGACTCTGGGACCAAGGGCAAGTTTTAACTTCTCTGTGCCTCAGTTTCCTTTTCTGTACAATAGGGAAAATAATGACAGCACCTACTTTCTATGGCATTGTGATAATTACATGAGATAATCTCTGTAATTCCTTTAGAGTGGTGCCAGCCCATTCATAAGTGGGGCTGTTATTATTTTAGTAGGTGCTTCTATTAATCATGCTAGACTAACGGCTGAAACAAACGTCCCTTGAATCTCCGGTGCTTAATGCAATACACGTTTAAGACTTGCTTAAATGTTCTACATTTACTGTTTAAATTTAATGCTTAAATGTTCCAATGTGGGACTGTGGGAGGGGACTTTGCTCTATGCAGTAGTCATTTACGGACCCAGGTTCCTTCTACTGTGTTTCTTAAAGTCGAGTCCACAGGGAGTCCATGAACTTGGATGCTATCTTACGTTAGATTCCCTAGAAGCTGAGTCTGAGATGGAGATTTTTGTGCACATGATTTAATGAGGGAACACTCTCAGGAGAGAGGGGAGTGAAAGAAGCAGGACTGGATAGGGAAGTAGCTAAGCAAGGATGTGATTTTACCTGGCATCCTGCCTTAACCTGATCCCACAGGGACTCTGGAGCCTCGCTTGTACCCTAGAGTTGGTTCCTCTTGGGGCGAGAGGGGACCAATCAGTCATTGGTCGTGGGCTTCCTAGTTTGGAGGGTGTTTTGACCTTGGAACAAAGTGGCTTCTATTGGTTGCAGTTCTCTGGGACAGCAATGACCCATTAGCAGCCAATACAGCACCTAGGAGTTGGTGCATCTGTCCATTAAAGGGATCTGGGCAGAGCACCAAAAGTGTTTACAACAGATGGGAAAACTACATCTTTATTTTTACCAGCCTCTAACTGAAATTTAGCATTTTCTTCAATTATGGAAATAAACAATAAACTACAATAGTATTAGCAGTATGTATGATTTTGTCACCAGTAGAAATCACATATATTTTCATGTCACATTACTATTGTTGCAGGTATCCTTGAAATATCCTTTGTGCTAATCTATACTTTAAAATTTCAGTAGATAATAGACCTGCTAGTATTTTGTATAATGTATTGATAAAGGACATATTGCATTATAAGTTTGTTCTTTTAAGTACTTTGTTAACAGTGTATCAATATAATTGCACCCATTTGTAATCATATGTCTTTTATGCATTTTAAAACATTTTGAGAATGGGTACATAGGCGTCACCAGATGCCAGAAAGGTCTGTGACACAAAAAAGATGAAGTACCCTGTTTTGGGGCGTCGGCCTCCTCTGCATTTCACCAGCAACAGGAGGAAAAAGAGAGGAAACAGAATCACAGGGGAGGTTTTTATGGGCCAGGCCTGGAAAGATCATACATCACTTCTTCCCACAGTGCACTGGCTAAGACTCAGTGACCTGACCCTACCTAGCTGCAAGGGAGGCCGGGAAATGTTGTCTGTCTGTGTGCCCAGAAAGAAGAGGAAATGGCCTGAGGAATGCACAGTAGTCTGGGCCACAATGCTCAATAAATATTCATTGACAGCCTGAGTGAATGAATGCTCTGCCCAAGGTGTCTCTGTGAGTTGGGAAGAATGGGTACGGGGCTGATTCTCCAGAGGTATGCTGAGTTTCCATCATGTTATCTCCTAGGACAAGCCATGCCAAGGCCAAAGCTGAGGCTGCGGAACAGGCCGCCCTGGCTGCCAACCAAGAGTCCAACATCGCCCGCAGTTTGGCCAGGGAGCTGGCTCCAGACTTCTACCAGCCAGGTAGGGCCAGCCGAGGAGGGGACAGTCAGGACAGGAAAGGGGGGGAGGGCCCCAGGGGTGGACACTTTGCTTTTTCTTTGCCTACTGGAAAGCTGAGATGCCCAAGTGGGTTCACGATTGCCTGTAAGTTCTAGAAACGGGCATGGTGCAAGCATGGGAAGGTATGACACAGGGGACTCATGGAGAGGGTATCAGAGGCCCCAGTTGTGGACTGGCCCCACTCCAGGCTGCCTCTTCTTCCTGAGAAAGGAGGCTGCAGAGTAAGGAGGACCCCCGTCTCTGATACAGACCTTGTACTTAGAGTGGTGAGAGCCCCTCAGGGTGGGATATTCTCTGCAGGAAGGGTTTTAAGGTGAGTGGCATGATTAGATTTGTTTTCTAAGCATTATTCTGGCTGCAGCAAGGAGACCAAGGGTAAACTAAATAAAAGAGTTTGGAACACAGACCTGTGCCTGGGAGGCCAAGTCGCTCCTGGTCCCAGCTCTCCCCCTGCTGGTCCCAGGGAGCATGGCACTGGCTGGCTGCCGGGCCTTGAGTGGTCTTGACAACACTTAGCTGTCATTGTGTGACAGGGCCTGCAATTAATCCTTTTATTAGTATATATGAAATAGGTATGATTAGGCCAAATTTTCAGATACGGGAATGGAAAGAGACCAGTGTCACCGTTAAGAGCATAAAGTCTAGAGCTAGGCTTCCTGGGTACTCGTCCTGGCTCTGCCCTTTGTCGTCTGGGCGACTTTGGGCAAGTGATTTCACCTCTCTGAGCCTCCCTTCCTTCATCTGTAAAATGCAGGTTAATAACATCGACCGCACAGGGGTATTACAACTGTTAAGTAAGTTAATATTTGGAAGTTTCTTCAAACAGTGCTTGGCACACGGTAGGTGGTGGGCGAGCGCTGGCTGGGTGAAGAACGAGGCTCGGCGAGGTTCAGCAGCTTGCGCAGGATCCCCCAGGGGCGGGGCCGGGATTCGAACCCGCGTCTCTCTGGCAGGTCCGGAGTATCAGAAGCGCCGGCTGCTGCAGGAGATCCTGGAGAACTCGGAGAGCCTGCTGGAGCCCCCGGGCCGGGGCGCGGGCGCCGCTGGCCTCCCCGGGCGGCCCCGCGAGAGCCCGCAGCTGCACGAG